TTCTGTTCTTCTTTATCTGCACTTCATCAAACACCTCATTGTTACCTTTATTCATGCGACCTTCATTGTCTTTTGAGCCTTCGTTCAACTCTCTCTGCATCTCTGCTCCAACTTCACTTTTATCTATACTACCTTGCTGCTCTGATTCCAAAAACTTTATGCAGAAGTCTAAAATTTTGTCTAGTTCTTCTACTGAAAACCTTGTTTTTTTGTTGGGGGACTTGAACTCTTAGCTTTCAGGCCATCAAGAAGGGTGATCAGAGGATGACCATGCTTCTTCTGAAGCATGTCTGAAGAAAGAACAATCTAATTAAAATACTCTTTGTCTTTTCTGAAACTCCATAGAAAGATAATTTTCAATGTTATTTACTATTAAGAATACATGAATAAACATACCATTTCCTAAGATGGCTTGACAAACCAGAGTTCTCTTTCGGTCTATCGCTGACTCTCTTATTATATTTCCTTGCATTAGTACATCTTTTACAAACTTGTTCATTCCTTGAGTTCAGGAAAAAAAACAAATATATACATTTTTTTAAATTTTCAAGGTTCAGTCTTTCAAATGAAAATTGGTATGCTTGAGCTGATAAATGTGCCTTGTGAATGTAAGAATAAAACCCAAAATATTCTTGCTCAGTTTTGAAATTTTTTTTGCAAAAGAATGCAGAAATGCATAAAATAGATAAGATTACCATTGCTTGTTGGCTTCTTTGCACAGACATCTAGAGAAAAGGCTATAATCTTCATTCCTACCTTTTTAAATTCATCAGCAGCAACTTGATTCATTGCAAATCTTTCAAATTCTGGGTGACCTTGATGAAGCATACATTTACTAAACACAAAAGAAGACTGGGGATTTAAAAATTTACTATTAGCTGCATCACACCCCAAGGATAATGAATCGTTAACAGTGTTACTCAGCTTTTTTAATTTGTACCATTTCTTTGGTGTTGCATACGGCCTCCACATGTCCTACTTTCCTACAACGATTACAGATTGGTCTTCTGTCACTAGACCTTAAATTTCTTTCCTCGTTCCTTCTACCATATCTGCCTCTACCCCCATACCAACCATCTGGGCGTTGCAAGAGTCATGGTGAGTTTTTCAATGAAACTTCCTAAACGATCTATTCTTCATTCAAATTTTTTCCCAGTTATGGCGACAACAGGGCTTGTGACAACAGCGTTGCTCCTGTACGAAAATTTTGGCTTTACCCAGGGGGGAGGGATATGTTTGTAATTTGCTTGTGGATTTCTTCCCTCTTAGCCAAATCCAGTGCTTGTGTGAATGTTCAAGGGTTCGAATACCATACGCTTTAAATCAGACCTAAGGCCATTAACAAAATGTCCACACATCAAAGTGTCTTGGTGGCATTTCATCATATGCCCGACGGACAAGCAGTTTTATGGCCCAGCCAAAATCTTCAGCGGACTCTAGCTCGTTTTGCTTGCATGAATATAAATCAGCATAATAAAATCTACAACCTTCTTTAGGCATAAAATGTTTCATCAATGCGGATTTAAATGTTTAGAGGTCATCATACACCACTCTGTCCTGTAGAAATGCTGGCAAGAAATTGCGTTGCCTTTTATTGACCAGTTATTGGCTTTTGCAACCCTTTTCAATATCTTCTCCCGGTTCCCCAAAGAATTTTTTTGGGTGGACAACGGTTTTTGGTTGGTCTTCTTTTGATTATTTCAAAGTTCAGGTTCCCTCACTTTTGTGGCTCCCTTTTTACTTATTTTTGCCAAATGATAATCAGAAATGAATTGAATTGAGTTTTTTATACAAGTTATATTGAAAAGGAAAACAGCTTCAAAATGTATGTATAGTGATCACTTATGTCCCTTGAAATGGCGGTGTTATCTTTTTGCTCTCATTCGGTTTCAGGCAGCAAGTTTGAAAATTCTCAGATTGCAAATCCCACTCCTGTCTGCAGTGTAAATTGGTTTCTAAATACGGCTGGTTCCGAGCTAAATGTTGGGCAAAACTTCAAAATGACACCAAGAATAAACTTAGCTGTCAACATAAGAGGAAAAACAAGCTAGAAAAACAATAGGAATGTCTCTAGATACGAATGTATAAGCTGTGTCAATCCATAGCCTAGTTCTTAAAATAATACTATAATAGAGGGTGGATTTCCTTAGTAAAAGTATTCCTATTAGTATATGCAATGCAATAAAGAGTGCCATGCAAGTTGACGCAAAAGATTATGCACAAACAAATATGACTAAAGCTGGGAGAGTGAATGGGGCGAAGGAATTGCGCAAATAAGGCAGGTAAGAGCAAGGCTTAGCGCTTGGAGTAGCGGTATTACAATACAACAATTTTACTTGGGTATGGCAAGGGTAACAAAGTTATAATATACAATCCCTGATAATACAATGCCGGACTATACAATGCCGGACTATACAATGCCGGACTATACAATGCCAGACTATTCAATACCGGACTATACAATGCCGGACTTAATTTTACATTTTCACTCATAACAAAGTTACTCTGCCAAAAATTATTATAAGGATTTCTTTAAGGAAAAACATCTTATTATTAAGCTGAGTTTAGTTGAAGATGAAAAATATACCTGCTCATTGACACAACTTGAAACCTGTTGTCGTTGGCTGCATTAATTGTGGTCAAGTAAGGAAAGATAAAAAGCACAACTTCATTGGAAGCGTTGCAGAGCTCTGGCTAGAATGTGAAAATGGACATTCTATGAAATGGAGTTCTCCTGAGTATGTTCATTGACTTTATGCCATTAATTTGCAGCTGTTATCTTCCATAATATTATGAGAGAATCTATATGTGAAGATCTCTTTGTTAGCCAAGTTCCTAGATCTGTAAACACCATCAGATGTATCATTTTACAGGATTGCTAAACATAATGTTAATCCAGCCGTAGATGATTGGTGGGAAGAGATGCAATCTTTGATCTTTAGGCTGTTTGCAGGTAAGGAACTGGAGATGGAGGGAATGACTCTCCTGGTCATTGTGCAACATACTGCATATGCTCATTCATTGATACAATGGCGGACTTAATTTGTACACCAGGAGATTGTTGATGTACATGATGCTGATATGAAGATGCTGATATTCTATTAAGTCACAAAAGCCCCAATTAAGACACACAACTCAGGACGCAAGGAGAAGAACTTGGCAAATCTCGACTTTCACAAAAGGAACTTCTATTAAAATGCAGCAAAAAGCTCTTTCAAATTCCACATGATTAGACTTTTCTGCTTGTGCACATTCCTTTGAACACTAACATGGTCTTTCTGCCCAAGCACTATGTGAGTACACTCATCATCATGATAGAATTGGTTAGCCAGCTCGAGTGTAACTTTAGGTATACCATGACCTCGTTTTGGATCAGGCAATGCCAAAATACCCTTGTCTGTTACCAGCTTTCGAGCTGTTCGCATAAGATACTCGGAAACAGGCCTGTTGTTTTTATGCTCCAGTTTGATGGTGATAACGTCAAAGCCTGTATCATAGAACGTTAATTATCTGAAAAAAATTAATTTTTTCTGCAAGGAATTTCATTGGGTAAGCAAACGCATCGTCTTTTTCTTGAATGTCACTTTTCATTTTTTGTACCGCAATTTTCTCTGATGGTACATCAAGTGGAGTAGCAATCTTCTGCTTGAAAGAGGTGACTGCAGCTTCTAACTTTCTTTTACCAACATGAATCTCTCACCACACAATTGTCGGAGTATCTTCAGACTAGAGGTCTTGACATCATGCAAGCTTGGAGAAGTGTAGGCTCTACAACTGAAAGACTTGAAAAAATTAGCAGAGACTTTGAGAACGTTTTAAAGATTGCCACAAACTTTTCAAGGAATGCAAACAGGAGGCTTGCAAAACTCGAAACTGTGGTAGAGGAAAGGCTACCTACAGAAAGGATACGAAAAGAAAAGTTACCTTTTGATGAACACACACTGCCGATGCTGATGATAGTGTCTTTCATGAACCACATAAATCCTTCAAAATTGAAGTTTTTTACGTAATTATGAATCAAATATTGCAAAGCATAGAAAGTAGGTTATCCAATCAAAGAGAGCTGCACCAAGATTTTTAATGCTTAGACCCTCGCTGCTTTGAAGGACTTAAAAAAGAAGGCCTGCCTAAAGAGGCTCTGGAAAGCATTTGTAAAAGGATGGGACTGGATAGCATCGCATTGAGGGAATAGCTCTTGGATTTCCACGAATGGTTTCAAAAGCTAATGAAAACAGTTTGAGAGGAGTATGGAGTCAATGACAAAGAAGACTTTGCAGGTACTTCATCTGGGAATGAATCATCGAATGCCCAAGATTCAGATCATGATTTATGTCAAGCAGGGGGTGAAGGAAAATGCCATTGTTGCTTGTCATGTGTATTCAAGCTTCTATATTAGTTTTACATGCAATCCTCTGCATATTCAGAGCTTTATTAATGCTGGTAACTTAATGGCTGTGACACAAGTGGAGTGTGAAAGAAGCTTTTCCACTTTAAAAAATATGAAGAACAGACTACTTGGTAGTATTTCGCAGCCAAACCTGGAGTCCTTCAAGTTAATTTTCTTAGAAAAACGCCTGTTTGATGACATGCATAACTATCATATTATCAACATATTTGCAAATTCTTCAACAGAGCTCCAACGTCTCTTATTGCTGTGATTGCATACATGAAACGACTGCACTTAGAAACAAAGTCAAACCAATAAGTTAAACTTTTTGTTTATTTACTGTTTAGTCAGCAAATGACGTATTTACCTGTTCTGCTAACCATGTTCTGTTTACCATCATCTGTTAAGCATTCATCCATGCACAAAATTACTGAATTTAAACAGTTTTCCTTACAGACTAACATTTACTAGCATTTTCTGAGGAGTCTTTTATTTGCTATTATTATGGACCAGTTTGATCAAGATGTGCCCAGGCCAAAAAAATTAGCCAGTTCGTCCTTTTTTGTGAGGCGAAGCGTCTTTTTAAACCCTTCTTGCCAATAGGTTTCCCGTACAAGTTTCCACCATCCGGTGTTTCTTTGAAGCTGCAGTGCCGATCCTCTTTGGGGCATCTTCTCCACTTCTTTCTTTGACTCAAAGTACTGTAGAATGGCGAACAGGAAAGGGGAAAACTTAACCAGGTATGTACGATTTTGAATGCAACTTGTCAGCATAGTTAACTGCATTGTATGACTCATGCATCTATCCTGAAGATCTTGTTACAAAACACGACCTTCTGCTTTCTGTTCATGGGCGCCTTTTTTTGACTGGATATCTGCATATTACTCCATGAATAATCTACTGAGTCTTATACTATTCAATTTCGTGAATACAAAATACGACATCTAAATCAAGGATGCACTTGTGTCGCATTCTTGATAATTAGATTTGACAAAACACAATTCTGATGTCTAAACTGAGCCTTAAAAAAAGATCAACCGGATCTATTTAAGCTTGTTGAAAAGATTTTTGATGGCAATACTAGATTTATTACAAAGTTACCTCAGAACTTGTACACAAAAATTGAAAAAAAAATTAATAAAATGACAATATTTATAGATAACTTAATGCATGAAATTAGTAATTTAGAAGCCGTAGGTAAATTATTTACAAATTATTTTTTTTCAAGAAGTTACAAGAGATCGCATTTAAATTTTAACGTAATTGTTATGATGCAGAATCCATTTCCGAGAGGAACTGAGATGAAAAACCTTGCGCTCAACACACAATATCAAGAAATATTAAAGAATCTGAGGATATATCTCTTATCATCAAATGAGTTTAGCAATATCTTCATTCTCTCAGTGCACACAACGTGCTTGCACAATTCAATGTTACGTTGTTCATGTCTGAATATTATCTCATCCTTTAAACTCTCCATGTAATTTTCATGTACTATTTCCCGCTTGACTATGTTCTTCTTGACACCTTTTGCTCTTTTTATCTTGCAACTGTACATCTTTGATCTCAAGCCGATAAACTCCTCCATTGCCACAACACCTAGCTCATCCTTCATTTTCCCAATAACTTTTTGTTCCTTGCTTAATCATTTTCACGTTCTTTGTCATAATTGCTAAAATCAAACTTGTCCCCATGTTCTTTCAATACTTTATTCACAGCATCTTGTGACATTGGGATGTTGTATATGAAACTGTCAGTGTCCATGTAGCATAGTTTGACATTTGGGAGGTTGGGTTTTGCAAAATTGCAATGGAAATCAAACATCAAGGTCTTGCTAATGTCCAATATGTGTGACGGTTCTCTTCTTTTTTATGACAATAACTGTGTTTTCATCGATTTCAATTATAATGAAATTTATCAATTCTAATTGATAAATATAATGAATTAATATATTTATAATATGTTACAATCAATATAAAAAGGATTGTTAACTTAAAATAATTTAGTTGGAAGCAAACTTAAGTGCAAAATGGAAACAGCACCAGCAGCTACAATTATGATATAAAAAGCTATTTTATCTTTCTCCTTTCTCGTTACAGAAGAAATGAGAAAGAAATTACAATTGAAGGAGGGAGAAAAAGTGATTTTCAAATTAGTAGCTCCAGAAAAGAATATATTACATTGGCTGATTTGATGATAATTAGAGATTGTATAGAGGAAAACAATGAAGTCTTCAGTGAAAGAGATTCGCAACAAAATACACCATTACATGTCCTATTGGAGTATTCAGATATCCTGTAATAATTGGAGTATTCAGACGAAAGTAAAGAAAATCCTTGGATATTAAAACATTTTTTGGATTATATGATATAAAAAGGATCATACATTAATGCTGTAATACATTGGGAATCAACAATAATAATTGCTATAAAATTATGTAAAACAAAGTTGGTGAAAAGACTTTTTGTGGAGCTGATTTGAAAATCGCTAACAATGAAGGAGAAAATTTATTTTAAGTTTAATATGATACATTTTAAGTATCCAGAAGAATATAAAGAAAGGGACGAACTGTAATTACTTAGATAACAGTTGTGTTTAATATATGAGCGTATATAAGTAGTAAATGGTAGTAGTTTCAATACTTTTTTATATTGAATCAGTTTTAAGAAGTTGAAACTTTTGTTTGTTTGCTGCTTTATTGATAATAATGGGCAATAGAATATCTAGTTTGCGAAAATCTGACATATTAAAAATGACGCAAAAGCCGAAAATGAAGTTTGATTAAAAGAGAAGAATTAGAATGAAAATCAGTAGCTTTGCCAGAAATAATAAAATTATCATCTCCTGGTGCAACTAAATATATCGATGTATCGATAATATATTGATTAATAAAGCATGATGTTCAAGTTGAAAGCAAGTAGATCAAAAACGTAAAGATGAAATTAGTCGTTGGTTTAGAAACAATTTTAATGACCGCTGCTAGAGTTCGTAAAGTGAGCGTTATGCAGTTTTAAATAGATGACCCTTGTGATTTAAATGTACAAAATTATGAGGGAAATACTGTATTACATATTTCAGTATTAAAAATAAATGTTAGAGCAGTGGCACTATTGCATAAATATGACAAACAAATATCGGATAAAAGTATGACTCGGCCTTGGATGATGGCTTCAAAACATGACCCGATAGCTCAGTGGCAGAACACTTGATGCACAAAGTCAGGGGTCGTGAGTTTGAGGCTCGCTCGGGTCGGTTATTTTCTCACACTCTCTATTAGTTGTCTTTGAAAATCCTTTTGTCTTGACATATTTTAGAAATAGACGCGTAATAGCTGCTTCCAGACATGTTAAGACCCTGTTTACATGAGACCGGTTGATAGATCCTGGCCTAGAGAAATCTAAACTTAGAAAAGCAAGTGCTGGGTTCGAATCATAACACTAAACTTCAAAATCCATGGCCTTATTTGCAAAATGCACAGTAAGTTGACGATAATAGCATCTGTTTGGCGTAGATGATTTTGACAAAACAAAATAGGCCATGTTAGGTTAGGAACTACCAGCATTGTAAAAGTGGTCGACCTACCATTTTCCCAGACTATGGGGACTTGCATGGTACCAACTGGCCGAAGGGCTGAGCATGGTCCAGCTACCAAGACAGAGATGTGCTGTTCTAATTTGGTGAATTTAAAATTAGAATTATATTTCGCCGCGGTATCGGCGTGTTTTTGAATCACCAGTGAAACAGAACAGCAACTGTCAAGAGGCAAGGGTAAGGACACACCCGCAGAAGAAACCTTTGTCCACAGAATGTTTTTATTAGCAAGATCGATAGCCGAAATTGTGGACTTGGTGGGCAAAGCTGTGATGGCTGGCATGCCGAAAAGAGGATCTTGCAAAGAGTCTGCCGAGGACGAAAAAGGGGTACCCGAGGGTTGTGGAAGACACTTTTCCACTTCCCTTCTAATGCTGGTAGTGAGTTCTTGGCGCAAATCAACAAGAGAATCGTTAACAATTTGCTTTACTGAACTAAGTAAAACAGATTCATGTGAATTAGAGGCAGCTGTATGAGCTGAAACTTTAGGAGTATGGCAAACAAAATTTATATGACGAGGAGTTATAGATGCCTGAGTAACAGGAGAATGCTGCTCATGATAAATCTCTTTACAGGCAAATTTATTACATTTCAAGCATTTGTGCAAGCGCTTAAATCTACAGTTATTGCCAGGTAATTGACAATGCGAATGAGAAAATTTGTTAAAGTTTCGACAGATTTGCGAAGGCAATGAGGAGCTTGAAAAATTCTTCATACCTGATCCAGGATGTGTTTTGTTTGGTTCAGCGAAGGGCGCCTTAGGCAAAGGGTCCGTAGAAGGCAGAACAGATTCACGGCGTTTGGCGGCTTTGATTATAGCAGGAAGGGATTTGAAAGGTTCATCTCGGCTCAAGAGATCCTTGGCAATGGGTGGGTGAAGCTTCATGGCAAAGGCGTGTATCAGCTCTAGCTGCTGGCCATCTGGAGAGGTTGAATTCCTGGAAAAAGTTTTTCCAAAGAGTGTTAGGTTTCGAGGAATCGATGGGCAAAATTAGATACAGACTCTTGAGCTTGTTGTCGCATAGAGTAATAAACAGCCAAGAGTTGACGAAGCTGTTCCTCTTTCCGAATTCCACGCTGGCATCATAAATTGTGAAGACATTGATCGTAGAGGGTACAAAACTCATAAGGGGTAGTTTTCGAAGTGAATTTTGTGGCGTTTGAGGTTTCGAAGGTGCAGATAATGTCGAAGGCACGAGAGTCTTTCTGGCTTTGTTGTTTAAGGTAGGTGAGCCAGAGGCGTGGAGAAACCCCAGATGTTGCCAAAACTTGGGTTAACTGCCCGGCGAAACGGTCGATCAGTTCAGCTCCCGTGAATTGTGGCAGGCTGAGAGCAGGTAAGCGAATAGATTGGTGAGGCGAGGCATCGCGGGCACGAATGGAGAGCGAAAGGTCAGCAACGGCACGAGAAAGTTCTTGGATCTGCTGCTGAGTCTGATTCATAACTTCTTTTGATGAATGATGGTGGTCACAAACAACATCAGCGAGTCCTTTGACGATTCCAAGAACTTCTTCTGGCGATATCATTGTTGTGTTATTTAACCGGGACCTACACTTGTGTAAAGGCACGCATGATTTTGGGTCCTACACCACTTTTGTAGAGGTCTTGAGCTGTATTGCGCAGATTAATGCGAGAGGATTTCATGAGAGAAACGAAAGTAAATTAGATCTTGTTCTTTGCTTACATTCTTGTTATCGTGCATATCAAAAGTCCTTATATACAAAATCTCATGATATATATACTAACGGCATACAATAGATTAATTACATGATTGACATAAAACTAAACGAGGTACAAATGAAAACGAGGCTATACAATATAAGAAATATCCTGTTAAAAAATTCCTTCATCAAAAATGGCAAAAGTGGGTATGCTGGATCACCCAATAGACAAATTTGGACAGCCTTTTCATCCTCTACAACTTGTTTCATACACCTGGGTATTACCCCTTCTCGTAGATCCTTATTAATGTCAGAGTTGGTAAAAATTCTTGCATCATGAACGCTATCTGGCTACTGAACTACATGAAACAGTACCTGTAGTCAAAGCCAGCCTGTATGTTAGGAGAATATCTATTTTTGCGATTGAGGTAGTCAGTTGGACTAGCCTTTGGCCTCTTTATGCGAATGCGAGTGCCACCAACCGCCCCAATACATTGTGGAAAACCAAACTTGGCATAAAAGCAAAATGCTGCTCTCCTGACATCTTCTTCTATCTTCGGAATTTTCATGTATTTTGGCCCAAGATGAAGTGTTATGAGCAGTGAAACTCAATTGATTATTGTCGAGGCTGTGGCCTTTGAAATTCCAAATGCATTTGCAACTTTGCGGTAATGTCCCTCATCTGCTGTGAAGTGCAAGAATAACGCAACTTGCTTTTCTGTGGAAACTGGGGCATGCATGTTAGTATGCTGCTTAGCGATGTTTAGTCTTAACATGTTGCACAAGTTGTTAAAGCTCTTATAAGACATTCCAAAATTCTCTTCCCACTCTTCTTGGACAACTATTCCATTTCTAATGTTACTCCACCAGGTTTCTGTTCTCCCAGGCCTCTTCCGTTTCTTTTCAGTTCTCACCTTCTGCAAAATGATCTCGTGTCGTTTGGAGCTATGCTCTGCTAATGCAACCAACTGGTTTTGTCAAGTTCGATGAACCTTTGACATTACGGTTGCGAACAAGAAACCACTGCTGACTGCTGCAGATAGTGCATATAAAACTGCAATCAAATTCAATGCTATTTTGAGCGAATTTTCCGTGGTTAGTGCGTACTTGTATCTTTAGGATTGTCACGATGATACAGAAAAAGGGCGCTAAAGCAAACAAGTGAAAATGCTTGCTCTTGCTATAGCCTCCTTCGTTGGAGAATTTACCCTCGTTACGGTAGCATACTCAGAAAGATCCAGTTTTGAGTGTTTACATCAGACCAAGTGAGACCGGCTCCAAATGAGTACGCTTTCATGGGTGAAGTCAAATGAGTATGGCTAGGTGATCTCAAATAAGTACAGTAATGGTGTCAAAAAACTTGATTGTATTGGTCACATACAAAAAAGGATGGGAAAAACCTAATTAGCATGTAGAAGACAGGTGGAAAGCTTTCAGATGGAAAGGCTGTTGGAGGAAGACAAGGGAGGGAGACAAGGCAGGCTTACAAGGCCAATAATAGACAGGCTGCAAAAATATTACAGAAATGCTATCAGAAGCTCTGCTGACAGGGAAACAAAATCAAGATAAGAGATAGAAGGAGCAGTAGAGAAGATGCAGAGGAATATAAAGGCTGTTCTTTATCACAGCATAAAGATAAAAGATAATGAGAAGTGACATCAGTTTTTTCCTTAAACTCCTGGTGTGCTTACAAGAACAAGCAATGCTACACAGATGGAACCTTTGTAGATAAGCCATACCATCTTGATGACGTTTTCTTGGATTTTTTGCTACCTCTGTTTGATCGTTTGAGCAGTACCAGTTTGCTAAAAAGGTGCTTGACAGGGTTCTCCAAAAATGTGGATGAATCTTTCAATTCTCTCATTTGGATTCGATGTCCAAAGCACCAAAACAAAGGAATGAAGGTTGTAGAGGTAGCAACTGGATCAGCAGTTTTGCAATTCAATGTTGGTAAAACATGCTCTAATGGCTAATCTAGGTATTCCAAGTGGCACTTACACAGAGCATAGTAGCAACTTAATGAAGAGGATCAAGGACCATCTGCTGTAAAACATAGGAGGTCATATAAAAACCCAAAAAAGCAAAAATTGAATCAAAATTACATTTACCAATTCAAAAACATCTTGAGAAACGTTGATAAACTTTAACCGGAAAATGCTCAAAACACTATTTTTGATACCAGTTGATTGCCCCATATAATTAATTCAATAACCTTTGAAAATATAAGCATGAGATTTGGCAGAAATACTTCTCATACATCTAGTTATGCCCCTTTGAGCCATTTTTGTAAATTTGCTAAGGTTGTCCTGAAATTTATACTTATTGCAAAAGCCTCGCTCATTGGTGGTTAAATTTACAGAAAATGTCACATTGGAGCATTCTTTATCATTTCAGCTTTGTTTCTATTAAAATTCATACCTCTCTAACAGATATTTCTTGGACTAAGCTGGTGGGGCAATCATCCATCTTTTATTCTGAACCAGGAAGTCCTCAACTTCAAGCAAGCATTTCCTCATCTTAGGGGGGAACTTTTGAAATTATTTTCCTCCCTCCAAAACCTGTAAGATTCCCCTGTCAGATGAGAAATAGGCCAAATCTATATCTTATAGGATAGTTGAATAGCAAAGGTTTAAAAATATACCAAAAATGATCAATTTTATGTATCGCTCCCCCCCCCTCTTAAGAGTTTCTTTACCTCTAGAAGCAGATTTGAAAGATTTTGCGTTGTCAGAAATTAAGATACTGGGTAAGCCTTGTCGTGCATAAAATCGTCTAATGGCATCCTTTTAGTTGGCATCCTCGACATAATTACCGGAATAAACAAACTGCCATATTTTTCAGAGGATATTCCCAAAGATTCCAATCCTCTTACCTGCACCATGATGTTGTTGAAAATTGATCTCAGCTGGATAATGTTCTCATTTGGAAGAGATTGAAGGTTAAGCAGCTCTTGCATGTGTGCTCTTGTGATCTGCTGCGTCTTACCAAATCTTTGCTTCAAAATGTCTATAGCATTGTGATAATTTCCCCTGTAATCTTGAGACCTTCCAATGCTTTGAGCGCCGTCCCTTTGAGCGAATTGACGAGATATGTTAGTTTGTGAACGTCTGTTGAACTTTCCTTCTCGTCAACTGCACACCTGAAGTTTTGCCAAAATGGCTTGAACTTCTTCACGTCTCCTCTAAACTTCTGAAGACTTCTCTTCAGCAATGTCACTCCTTGATTGCATTGACATGATCCTCCACTCTGATTATTCGGACTCGTAGGCTGTGGAGCTGTGCGTACGTCTCTTAGAATTGAGCTCCTTGTAGGGGTACTTGTTGATGGAAGTCGCTCTAATTCTCCTCCACCATGTGCCTTCCTACTAAATGTTTCAATTCTCTCAATGGTTTCAGTTATTGTTGCTGAAACGTCTGTTGCTTCCTCGAATTCTTGCGCCATTTCGTCAATATGACAAATTCTCAAAATTTTGTCATTTAATTTTGCCAAAATAACCTGCTTCTTCTTCAAGGTTTTTGATATTGTAGCCAATTTCACAACAATATCTTCGTTTTCTGTGGACCCTCCTTGGCCACTTTCTTGAATAATTTCCCGAGCATGTCTTTCCAATTTCGTAACAGTTCAATGATTTCCTCCATGTATTATTCGTAATCGCTTCAAACTGTTTTCAGCTGTTGGTGCTAAATCCTCTCCTTCAACCAACAATCATCACTCCTCTTTTTGCTTGTTCACTTTAATTCAATGCCATCTCTGCCACACGTTGGAAGCCATTTGTTGTAGAGACAAGATTCTGTTTTCGTTTTCCTTTTTTAAAATAACCCAAGAAATCTATTTACAATTTATGTGACCATAGCTTCGTGAGCGATTAACTAACTAACTCATTAACTAGCGTGGGTGTTGTCGACACTGTGGCCGACGAAAAGAGGACTGGGTCCAAACCAATGCCCTGGGCTTTTAGCAATTACAACAGAGGACAAAAAAGACGAGTTAGGAGGTGATAGTGATGATGATGATGATGAAGGTGAAGTAGATTATGGCGAAAGTGAGGACGATGAACAAGATGAATATGTTAGTGAAAAAAAAAATTTGTATTTTTTGAAGCTGACGATTATGATAGTAATAATGCAATGATGATGAAGATGATGATGAAAGTTCTGAAGAAAGTTTTGAGGAGATAAATAAATCAATATTTAAAGATCAGGACAGTGAAAAAGTTGAGACAAAAATAAGAAATAAGAAAATTTAGAATCTTGCAATGAACAATACCAATCACACAAGTGAAGTTTCTAGACCATGTAATGAAAATCATTTCTGCATTAGTAAATATGAATAACTGTGTAGTTTTAAAAAGTTAGAATTAATATTTTTTAACCAATGATATTCTGTAGTTGTAGAAGGCAAGAATAATATTTCTTTGCAATCTGTCGTGGACTGTAAATTATAGGAATTAAAATTAGACTTGAGTTTCATTTTGATCAACTTTTGCAGGAATTTTGACATGACAAAAAAATTTTATTTTGGCATTCGCAATCTGGAAAGTATCGTTGTAGATTTTTTTTATGCATTTACTGCCTATTTTTTTACAGTCTTCACAAAAAAATTTGCCTTTTTGTGCTCTTTTAATGCTAACACAGCTATAACGAAACCAACCCCTAATACATTTTTGTCATCACAGGCTATCATTGGTAAGAAGCTTGGGCGGTTGCAAATGCAGTAATTGTTTTCATTCTGTTCAATTTCGCTAGGACTATTTTTCGGTGACAGCAGCTTGGGAAGGATTACAATTTCGAAAAGTTTTTCATATTTTCCAAGCATTTTGAACATAAATCTTCCTCTTTTTCAATCTTAAGCAATATAAAATTGCTATTTACAGGGTCCATTGTCCAGATACAGAGATAGGTAAGTGGTAAACCTGTTACCAGCATTTGAAGTTGCATTTGAAAATATCTGTATTCGATTTCTAAGACCCCTTGGCCATGACAGGCGGAAGAAACAAGTCCATCTGGAGTTGCCCCCAAATGTGGCAAATTGAGTTAACATGCAGCCCTGTCTCAGTCACAGTAACTTTCTCATGGTGAAGGTCGAGGTGCACAACAATTTCCATTTCTTTACCATATTTTGTAGCTGCAACTTCAACAGGTGGTTCATATTGCATCAATTTGTTTAAAAAAGTTTTAGATGGTCAATCTAATTTTGTGCCATATGCAATTTTGGAAATGGATGCTGTAATTATCCAATCTCAATGAGTTTTCCAGGCTTCTGACAAACTCTGCTGCTTAGTTATCATACATAAATTTGAATAATGCTTTTGGGTATAGCTTGTCTTGCATTGTGAGAAGACTTTTTGTGAATAGGTGATGAGGCTTTTGGTATCAAAGTTAATTGCTCATGATTCAAATAAACCAGAAAGTGGCTCTGGAATGTAGTTACTTTCTTCTTCATCAGCAGTGTCAGTTTTCTCACTGTCATGAACATTATCTTCAAATTGTTTAATGGTGAATACAGCAGCATTTGGTTCAATGTTTTTAAGTTCCAACAATTTGTTCTTTAAGTGTTCATTTGACTGTATTTTGTGGTCAGGAGTGTAGAATGGAGTTGTACTGTTGATATTATTGCTAACATTTGGAACTGAATCATCCTTTTTGGCCTTTTAAATGATATGTTTGCTAGAGGTGCTAGCTGGGCTTGTTGCCGTGATCTTTTCCAGGAACACAATCTGTTTGTTGACACAACTTTGCATCAACTCCAACAGTGTGCAAGCCTGTAATTTTAATAACAATGCTGCATCATGACTGCAAACTGAACCAAGTCTGAAAAGAAAAAAATATATCGATTATTCAATATTAACAGACAAATTTTTCAATAATTCATTTATATGCAGACAAATTTCATTCTGGCATATTTTCATATGCCAAAAATATGGAAGAGAAAGTCTAAAATTTAGCCTAAAAGTTGCCTTTAGAATAGTTTTATCAAGTCTTAATTAATTAATTGTTCTTTTCGTGGAAAGGCCTAAAACAGTCAATGCAAAGATGGACAGAATCATCGTTGCTGCACCCGTCGCAAACGATCCTTGATTCAGCCCGTTTCTTCTCAGCAATGCAGTTTTTGCATCTTCTGGCAGTCTTCACTTTTTTTGGCCAGTGTCCATGATCAGAAAGTCCTCCCTTGGAGGCCTTTCGCTTGCGATAGTTTTGGCCTTCAAGGAGGTACTTTGCAATTGCCTTCTTGAACGACAAGACACTTGGGGCTACGGCAATGCCTTTTGAGTTGATCTTTTTGTGGTTTTCTGATTCCTTAAAACAAATGAAAGCATTTGCCAGGCTAATATCATACAGAAACCACATAATATAAAGCCACCAGCGCTTCGTTGAACGGGCTGTAGGATATAGTTTGCGAAGCTGATTGCTGTTGTCAACGGCATTCATGAAGTTGTTGTATTCATGAATTGGCCAAACGCAAGGAACTTCCTTCATGGTCCCATCTTTTTGACGCCGATTGATAGTAGTTGGGCCCTCGCTTGGATCGGTATTTGTTGATACAACCAGAACTGGCTTGCGCCCCTTCTTCTCGCGCCAAGCAGAAACAAGAATCCCATCATTTTGGAATTGCTTGGAATCTCCGCCATCCTTTATGAGGTTGTTCACCTTTTTCTTCGAGTCAAGATCGAAAGGGAGCCCCTTTACATTTGATCTGACAGTTCGGCAGCATTACAAGCCTTTCTCAAGCAAAGACTTGCAAAGTGCAGGACTGCAGAAGTAATTATCGCAGTAGATGTGACTGTTCGTACTATACAGTGGCTCTGTTAGGTCTTCAACTACCTTTCTACCAAGGCCTACCTAACGAGTACCATCTTTAGGCTTCCCCAAGTAAACGGTAAAATTGTTACAATAGCCGTTGTGGCAATCTGCCCGCATCCAAATTTTGATCCCATATTTGGTCGGTTTTGACGGCAAATACTGTTGGAAATCAAGCCTTCCTCTGAATGCAATCATGGCTTCATCGACAGCACATTCCATGTGCGGGTTGTAGTTTTTTAAACAGTTGCCCCTCACAATTTCCAAAATAGGCCTAACGAGATAGAGTTTGTCATAGTTCTCATCTTCTTTACCTGGCATCTTTGTTCCATCATTTGCATGCAGGTACTGTGTTATTTTGTCGAACCTGTTCCTTGCCATTATTTTTTTTAAGAAAGATCCTCCAAAAACGGCATGTTCGGACCAGTACATCTTCATTTCTGGCATGTTGATTATGGCCATGAACAAACGCATGCCGCAGTAGGTTTTTAGTACAGCCAAATTTGTTTCTGTCCTAAGCGGGTCTGGTTGCAGGGAATTCTTCTGTCTTGCGTATAGATTTTTTTGTGTGGCAAGAATTTCAAAAATCTGCATAGGAAAAAACAGATTTAAAAAATCTATTTCTGTTTTTTCACGGCCAAGAACATTTGTTGGGCCTACAGGTTCCTTCCCGCAAAAGCTTTTTATGACAACCTTCGAAAGGTCACTGGAAAAATGTCTGTTCCTTGCTCTTTCATCATCGTCTGATTCCAACAAACTACTCTCTGATATTTGAGAGTAGTAAGTTTATTTTCTATTAGAGTAAATTTATTTCTCTATTGTTTTCTTTATGTTCTGAACAATCCAAGTAGTTTAAATGAGCCAATGAGCAACAAGAATTCAAACCGTCAAATGACGTCCGTGAGGAAATGTGCAAAAAGGTGTGCTAAATCTGAGTGTACCCTTTGTCAGAAGTTTTAGAACATTCTAGAGAAGCTTACCTTTGATATTTGCTGACTGATTATGACATTTAAATCTTTATGTAAACACGTATATAACAACCATTATCCTATCCGTCATTTAGGCCAACCTTAATTTAATCAAACTTCCTAGTCAACCTCGTTTTCATATATAGCCTCGTCATAGTTGTTCTAGCTCTTTCGGGAGGTTTCTAGCTGTAGTAAATTTAGATTCTTATGTAATAGGTTGCTAACGTCATCATGACAGAGCTTTCAGGTAAATTCTAATTATAGTTTTGTGGACTCATGCTTATAATATAGGTTCTAGAACTTTCCATTAGAATCGTATATATACCTGTAAACTTTCGGTAGGACTTACTTACGACTTACGAATTACGAATTGCGAATCATCATTGAGAGTTTAACAAAATTGCGAGTTATTTGGTGTCACTGGGAATTCTATTCGAGCACAGGGCTATCTACGCAGAATTCCCCACAAAGGCATGCTAGTCATTTGACCTTTTTGGGGAGAATGGGTTAAATTACATTAAATGGCACGCACTGTGTATATAACTTTATTGTGTTAAACATAAAATAAATATATTGTAAAAATTACATTAAATGGCAAGCACTGTGTATATAACTTTATTGTGTTAAACATAAAATAAATATATTGTAAAAATTACATTAAATGGCACGCACTGTGTATATAACTTTATTGTGTTAAACATAAAATAAATATAGTAGTTTTGTGTAATATAGGCCTGTAATTCAGTCACAATCTTTTTTGATAAAAAATTGTTCAGATGAAAAGAAATAATAGAAATAAGTGCCATGGACATACCCTGCCATGCAAGTGCAATTTGCCGTGAGTATCCATCCTTCACTCTTGTTGAGATATCAGAATGGGAAAAATAGAAGCAATTTCCAACAAGATCAATCTCAATGGAATTAAATGATTTACAATCCAATTATCAGTGATACCATTAAACAGCAGTAATAAATGAATCATAAAATGTTCAGTGAGACAAATGTCGTTGATCAAGTCCACATACAAGTATACAAAAAATCTCTTGACAATTAATCCCTATCCAAAAACGGGTACTTTGAGTTCAAGTTGCAATAAAAGCTGGTTCCCTTCCTCGAAAGGGTTTTTTCGGTAAATAGTACTCTCCTTGTAAGCAACACAAAATCCCTTTGTCCTCAGTTTTCACGATGAAGAAAATCCATCCACAAGGATAATGGATCAAACCAATTTGATTGATAGAATATGGCTTCTGTGTTGACAATAGACCATGGAAACCTCATTAGACCTGACGAACTGCTGGGCATTCTTGCCAACTGAGGACAGGAGAAAATACATTCAGCTTGCAAACTTCTTGCTGTTTTAACGGAAAATCATGCGACCCTCAGGTCGTGTAGAAAATGAGAGAATAAAACAGATTAAAAAGGTTTCTCAAGAGCCAGACAGACTAACATCGAAACTTTTTTCAAAAAAATGACAAAGGCTGTTACAGAGAACAGCAGCAAGAAAACAGAGCCAAATGTTTCAAAAGAGGATAATGCGTCTGAGGGTCCTCAAAAAGCTTCCAATGGGGAAATTCTTGAAGAACTATGGGTTAAAGAAGAACTGCAATTTAATGACCAAGACAAAAAAGCCAACAAATTAAAAGGGGAGATCGTTTTTTTCCTGCCTGGTTTTCGCAGTTTGATTGGCTTTCCTGTCATCGTCAGAAGAAGGCTTTTTTTGCCAACTTTGCTTGGCATTCAAACAGAAAGAAAAGTCACCCTTTGTATACAGGAGTGAATCAGAAGGTTCCAATAACTGGAAAAAGGCAGTGGACAAATTTCGAGACCATGCTGCATCAAAACCGCACTGAGAAGGTGATACAGAAAGCAGTTGACAAGGCATCCCAGATATATTCTTGCAGCTTGACAAACAGAATTTTGAACAGCAAAATCAAAGGTTCAATGGGCTGATACAGGGACGCAAAATTTGTCTGCTCTCTTCTAATGGCTTGACGCAGGGCTTGTGAAAACTATTAAATTTGAGCCATTTTCACTTTCCACAAGATCATTCCTTGATATTCAGTTAAAATAGGCCTAGATGGTTGACCTTGACGTTGTCCTCAATCTTTTAAAATGACATTTTCAAAAGTAAGATCATACTGTCTTTGACAGAAACTAAGCAATAAATGGCTCAAAGTTGCTTTGTCAGTAAACGGTGTAAAGGCCTACCAGCTAAGCACATACAACAAAATTGTTAGTTTGAAGAAAGCATACAGTTTTTCGTTAATTTTCAAAACGTTCAAAGATTTAAAGAAACTGTGAAGGGGAGTTCATGAAATATGTCGGCAACCATTTGTAAAGTCGTCAGCACTTGAATTTTTCTAAAACTGTTGGCACATCGCTGTTTGGGTTCTAGCACCACCCCAGGGCTGATAATGCACCTTTTTACATTGAAAACTTTGCTGAGGCAAGGAGCTGCTATAAGAGGAAATGATGACACCATTTCAAATATTTTCCAGTTTAATTTGGATAAATCACGAACAGATGAAAGACTTTTTCTGAACTCAAGATCGTACTTTGGCCATGCTATTCTATCGAAGCAAGAGCAAATGCTGGTGTTGGAAGGGAGGATGCAAGTTTTGGAGGAGATAAAAGGAAACAGGTACTTTGTGTTGATTGCTGATGAACCTACAGATGTTAGTAAGAAGGAGCAAATGCCTATTACACTAAGGGCATGTACAAAAGACTTTGTTGTCAAAGAGTACTTTATGGGAATACACAAATGCGAGGAGGGTATTGCTGCAGAACCATTTTTTAAAGTGGTAAAGGATGTGCTGATTAGATGCGGGCTTTCACCAAAGATGCCTACAGGCTGTACATTTGATGGAGCTTCAGCAATGGTCAAACTGGGACGCCTGATCAATGAGTATACAAATGGGCAATCAGTTTACATTCACTGTCTAGCTCACTGCAATGACATGATTATCAGAGATGCCATCGCCAAAAGCTCACTGTTTGCAAATGCAACGCTGAGGTGTCAGGATCTTTATGCGCTTGCAGGTGTCTCCCCTAAAGAAT